TGAATTGTAAATAAAAAAGAAATGAAGAAGAAAGCAAAATAATTCACAAGTGTTCGCAATATACTTGCCTATGTGACAATGAGCACGGAGAGTAGAAAATTGTCAAACGGATCATATGAGCGATTGGTTATGAAATTTGTCAAACTATTGTAAATCACCTGTATACTTATCGTCATCAATGCTACCGTCTTGAGAAAAATATCTCACATATTGCTTAATGTGACGTTCAAACTATCACGTCCTTCAAGTTAAAAGAAGTATAAAGCCATAATTTTTGAAAGTAATGAGCAGTTTAAGAGATTTGCAAGGTGATTGATGAGATTGCGTTTGATTATTTTTTGCGGTTAAGTTTATTTACTGACATATGAATCAGCAATATAAAATTGCACTCTTATGACACAGATTTTAAAATTAATTCACACATTGCCTTATTTTTGTTAATTCAACTCATAAAAAATTTCTTTTAAACAAAAAGTAGTAGTTGAAAGATAGAAAGAGAAATAATCAATTGGTTTATGTAAGTTAATGAGTTTAAAGTGTTGAGACTTTAATATTTTGTTTATATGAGCTTCGGGGATATTAAACTGTTTTATGAGCGGTGTTATGAAGTCACAAAATTGTTAATTTGTAGTTTAATTACTCTCTCGTTAATAAAGATCTTCTTTTGTTCAATCTAAATGGATTTTTGAGATTAATCGTGGGGTATTTTATTGATTTCCTGTTGATCAGATATGGAGTTTGGGCAGGGGGAAAATAACTTGGTGTGAAACGTGTACGCCAAAAATTTCACAAAAATGACGTGAAATTTCACACCATTTCACGCCAATGGTGTGAAATTTCACGTCATTTCACGCCAATTTCACGCCAGTGGTGTGAAATTTCACGCCAATGTCGTGAAAATTTTAATCGAAAAAAAAATAATTAACAGTCTTTTTTTTTAATATTTTATAGAAGTTGACATACTTTTAAATTTATTTAAAATTATTATAATATTTTAATTTTTTTTTAAGTAAACTAAGGAATCTTTGAGTAATTGAAGTTCCTGACAAATCACATTTGTTCAGCATCTTTGGAAGCTTTATCTAAAACAGGAGTGTTTTGTATTTTCCCGAAAAGCAAAATAACGAAAAACAATTTTTACGAATTTTCAAATTTACGAATGTTCATTTTTACGAAAATTTTTATGGTAAAAACCAGAGATCGAAGCCAATTTTTTCGGCTTAACTCAATTTTTGATTTTTTTGATAGAAAAAATCCATTTAACACCCATTTTAAGTATTTAAATTGAACATTACATGCTTTACTATGATTCTGTGAAATATTTTTTCAGCATGTAGCTATAGTAAGCTCTGAATTTCAATTTAGCCGATTTTAAGCCGAAATTTAAGCCGATCGGCTTAAAATCGGCTAAATTGAAATTCAGAGCTTACTATAGCTACATGCTGAAAAAATATTTCACAGAATCATAGTAAAGCACGTACAGTTCAATTTAAATACTTGAAATGGGTGTTTAATGGCTTTTTCTATCAAAAAAATCAAAAATTGAGTTAAGCCGAAAAAATCGGCTTCGATCTCTAGTAAAAACGTATAGGATATAATTTGAATCTCAAAAAACCGTTGGATAAAATCAAATATTGAGACAGTTAAAAGTAACTTAATCATTTAAATTCGATTAGATATGATAAAATAATTATTAAAAGATGAAGGATTAATAGAACTGAAAAAAAGATTTGCATTTATTTAAATGTGAAATATTTTTTCTATAAAAATTTTATTTTGCTATATAATTTTCTCATGGAATTACCCATAAAACAAGAAAAAATATTACACATTTAAATAAATGCAATTCTTTTTGTAGTTCTATTAATCCTTCATCTTATAATAATTATTATATCATATCTATTCGCATTTAAATGATGAAATTGATGTAAATTGTCTTTTAATGTTTGATTTAACCAGCGGTTTTTTGAGATTCAAATTATATCCTATAAGTTTTTACCATAAGGGTAATTCCATGCTATAATTTTGCTATAAAATTTTCTTTAAATTGATTTTTTTCATCCTTAGGCTTTACAAAAGTTAATAAGATTTCCACAGGACATGTTAAAAGCCATAAGGTATGTTATTTGACATTAAAATGTCATCTAAAGTGATTATTAAGTCCAAAAAATTATATTTTATAGCGTTACTTGGTAACATTTATAGCGTTACCAAGTAACGCTCATGGAATCAATTTTTTGGACGAATTAACCACTTTAGATAGAAAATTAATGTCAAATCATATACCATATGACTTTTTACATGCACTGTGAAAATCTTATTAACTTTTGTAAAGCCTAAATATGAAAAAAATCAATTTTAAGTAAATTTTTTACAAAAATTTCTCATGGAATTACCCATAAAAATTTTCGTAAAAATGAACATTCGTAAATTTGTAATTCGTAATAACGGTTATTCGTTATTTTGTTTTTCGGGAAAATACAAAACACTCCTAAAACAGTCTTGCATTCTTCAATTGATGGATAGTATACAGGAACATCATTCGAAATCAAACTATCAGATTTGATCTTTTCGTTCTCAGGCAAAACAAAGTTTTCTCGCAAATCAAACGCAATATCATGAAGAATTTGAATTCTATTGATTTTCTCGAGAACTTCTAGAGAGCTAAAATCAATATTCATAAACACTAAACTCATTAGTCTTAAACTTTTACCCAATCTTTTGTAGTTCACATCTGAGTGTTAGAATTGTAAAAAATCAGCTTATTTTATCAAAATTTAATGATTTTTTTAAAAAAAAATTGTTTGTTTATGTTTAAAAACACGATTAAACAAAAACAATACTTGCTTTTGAGCATTGTAATGCAGCTTAAATGTTTAAAGCTCACAATTGTGTGTAGCTAATGAGTTGTAGGTGATCTTTTAAATCACAGAATAACTTGTCAATGTAAACAAACCTGAGGAAAATTTTTAAATTTGACCGTTATGAAAAATGTTTTTCAAAAAACCATCAATTAAACTATTTTAATTTTAACTAACGAAGACAAGTTTTGTAGGATTTTAAAAGAAAATTATTACGAAGATTTAAAAAACCAACAGTATGTTGAAAATTCGAATTTTGAAGGATCAGGACTTGGTGGCACATGAAAATTATAACTAGTCATATAAAAAGACAAGAAGACCATTAAACTGTCTATAAAACTATCTTAGGTTTACTTATTTAAATTAAAAAAGTTTATTTTCAAACCTTAATGGTTAATGGAATATTAAATGAAAGGCTTTCTGGTCGTAAAAAAAATCACTAAATGTATTTTAATTTTTTTTTATATTGGCGTGAAAAATGTATGCTATTTCACGTCAGTGGTGTGAAATTTCACGCCATTTCACGCCAGTTTCACGCCAGTGGTGTGAAATTTCACTCCATTTCACGCCAGTGGTGTGAAATTTCACAACTCTGGTGTGAAATGGCGTACACGTTTCACACCAAGTTATTTTCCCCCTGAGTTTGGGTTGGGAGACTTTATAGCAGATTTTTAAAAGTTGTCTCATTGATAAACTTTTAAAAAATATATTTTTCCTTAATTTTAAAAATTAAAACAAAAAGAAAAGCTCATAAAACAATAATTAATATTTATAATAAATTTGTTAAGATTTGAACTTAAGTTTCAATCAGAATCGGACTTAAATTTTTAATAGAAAACTCTTATTTAAACTAGAATTGCAAGTTATTTAGAAAAATATTTGATTTTTTATTTGGATAATAACTTTTTTATATTATGACAAGTTCAAAAACTCTTCAAAATCTTCAGTTTTCTTCATAATTTATAAACCTTTCTTTTTAAAAAATTCTATTGCATCACAATTCAACCCAAATCCATCTGAATATTTTATCACATTTTATTTTACTTCCTATCAATTTAATACCTTAAACAAAACCTTAAAAATACTGCATAATCGTCTCATAAAATTTTTGTCACCAATCATCAACGTTATGCATTCAAGATGATGATGATCAACATGTGAGTCTCTCTTATATAATCGTCAAAAACTAACATAGTCATCAAGAATTCATGAAACCATAAACTTTAAATCATCAAGTCTCGTGCTAAAAACGTCACAAGTAAATTGTAATAATTAATCTACATCAATCTTAATAGGTATTTCTTCTATGTAATTTGTCGAACAAGAAAAGAAGAAAACTTTCACTGAACTAGCTCGTGCGTGCCATAAAATTTGATTTGCTTTAAGGAAATGTTTGAATTAAAAGAAATAACATCGAAAATAATAAGTGCAAGTATTTCTTTTATTAATTTAATGCATCGATGACTTTTCTTCCGAATTCGTCAATGTTTGGTGATTTATTTGTTAAAACTCAATTAAATTTTTCAATAAGGAAGCACTCACCAACATGCAAGTGCAGCATTGAATGAGTTTAAGTTTAAGGTCAATATCATATGTTAGCTTTTGTGCATACGATCATTAGCTTTTACAAGAAGCTTTCATGTTTAAACTTTAATAAGTAAGCTTTTAAGTTAAACTGAAAAAATGAGCAACGAGTGAGCTTCTTTTTGAGCAAACGCTTAAAAGATTTCAATGCAAGTTATGCATAATAAAATGAAGTAAATTTTCACACAATTAATAAGTCTTTTCGCAGACGATTTAACCTAGTGATATTGACTAGCTTTGACGTAATGTCAGCATTGTAATGTAACCTGCAAAAAAATAATAATTTCTGGGGCAGTAATAAATTATTTTTTGCACTTCAAGAGTTTTGCAATCATTCTTGTGAAGCTACAAATTTTCCAAAAAGAGGGGGGGGGGGGGGGGGGGGGTCATAACCACGTGTTCAAAGATTAGAGCAAAAAACATTTTGATAATTTTTCAAACATTTTATAATCTTTTTCAATTCACATCTTTACAATATTTTTTACAACATACAATGTAATAATGTACAAACAGAAATTTCATCCACTTTTTGAGCATATTAAAAGTAAACAAGTAACCACAATTAAATATACAATTTTTTTTCTCAAGAATTTCAAATAAAGTCTTTGGATTATAACTAGATACCATAAGTCTAAAATTAAAATATATGAGCTTTATGATACAAATTCATACATCACTAAAAACATGTCACATGGGGCAATAAGTCATTATGCAGTCGAGTTTGAGAAGAATTCGTCAATAATGATATTAAAGCAAATTTTAAATATGAATGACAGATAATTTTACAATGTTCCTTTTCTTCTCCTTAATTGAATGTTGTGACTTTATCTCTAATGTTTTTAAAAAACAATTTATTTTCTATTAACAAATTTTTTGACTATCAAATTTCAACTAGAAATTTTCACTTCATCTTGATTTGAACTGAGCGTTGTGTTATCTTGTCTTTTAATACGATTTTCTGCAACATCATTTAAGTTTGTATTAAGCGTTAAGTTTTCCTGCCTCTTAAAGCGATAATCGTCCTCATCTTTTGACTGTAGCCAGAGGGCTTTAATTTGATCTGCACCCTTTTCACCTATTTTATGAGTCATTGAGTGAATGGCCATTAATCATGCTTCATTAATACATTGAGAAATTACAAACTCACCTATCATTATTACTGGTGCAACAATATTTCCGCTCGTTACTGTCGGCATTATACTTGCGTCAATGACTCTTAAACCTTGAACACCGTACACTCTAAGTTGATCATCAACGACAGCAAATGGATCATCTGGTGTTCCCATTTTTGCTGTACCGCTATAGTGGTAGATTGACATTGTGTATTGCTTGACGGAACAATCCCAATATTCATCTAAAATAATAAAAAGTCATACTTGAAATTGGCAAATTGAGATATAATCTAAGGTCATTTACCAGTGTACATCTCTAAATGTTGACAATTTGGCACTTTTCTATCGTGGAAGCGTGCACCAAATTTCTTCATTGCCTGCGTCTCAACAAGTGAGATAGCAGCCTTGACGCCTTCTCTTAATACAGCTACATCATCCGGATGTGTAAAATAATTATGATAAATGAGCGGGTATCTTAGAGGATTCTTTGATTGAAGTTTAATGTATCCTCTACTTTTTGGACGCAACATCATTGGGAATACACCGAAAACATCTTTATTTCTTACGTCGCCGTACATGTAACTGAAAAATTCATCGGTTAAACCATGAGCAACTTTGGCTTGATCATCGGATGTGATTGATGCACTTGTAAGATGAAATTCAATGTCTGGCCAGTCATCGGACTGATTGGCATATTTTGTACTGATGAAACCAACAGCTTCAAGACCAATGTTACTTGTCAAAGGTCCATCTTCAGTAACTGCATAACGTACAGCTGAATTAATATTGACTAATCTATTCATGACAAAACCAACGGGATGATCAATCTGAAAAACTAGACCACCAGCAGCGACATGATCTTGTAAATTTCTTCCGACACCCGGTGAGTCGTGAATGACGTTAATTCCGAATTTTTCTAAATGTTTCTTCGGTCCAATACCGCTTAACATAAGAAGATGAGGCGTTCCTATTGCACCAGCTGATAAAATGACTTCTCGCTTTACGAATGCTTGCTGCTTTCGTCCATTTCTAATAAACTCAACACCTAATGCACGTTTGTTTGTATCATCCATTATCACTTTTGTTACATGTGCAAACAATGCTACATGTAAGTTCTTACGCAATCTTGCCGGTCTCAAAAAAGCTTTTGCTGTACTACATCGTTGTCCACGACGCTGATGGAATTGGAAAAATGCAAATCCAGTTTGTTGTTCTCCATTAATGTCAACAATATCGTAACCTTGTTCTTCAGCTGCTTGTAAAAATGCCGGACCGATTGGCGTTAAGTATGGTGCATCTTGAATTGTTAAGGGTCCACCTGAAAAATGACAAATCATTAATAACCTAGCTTAACATTGTAAATATTTTAATCACCTGTTCCATGTTGTCTCTTATTTCTTGCCAAGTATGGATTCCGTTGATCTTCAGATTTTCTGAAGTATGGAAGAATATCTTCGTATGACCAACCTTTATTGCCAAGTGCTTCCCATAAATCGAAATCACGTTTGTTCCCTCGAATATACAACATTGTATTGAGAACTGTTGAGCCTCCAAGAACCTTTCCACGAGTCCAGCAGCATCGTTTATCTATCATCGCCTGACATGCTGTTTTTTGCGGTTGAGTTCTACGATCATTTGAAATTATATAATGGATAATGTCTCAATTAGAGAAATAATTATTAATTAGGTAGAAAAATTACGACACACGCTACACAGTCTTACTATGTGTCATAAAGTGAATGTGTGTATAATTTGTCTTCAGCTTCTCGTTTTTTTACCCTCATTTTTTCTGACTTGATTGCATGAATAAAAATTGTTTGGGTTTTTTTTTTATTATTTTTTCAAGTAAATATAAATATCAAATATTAGATGAAAGTAAAAGCTCAAACGGTACTTATAAAGTAGTTCAAGTTGGTGAAGATATTTCGGTAATTTTTTTATATAATTTAAGATCATTTTTATTAACTTGTTCAAGGACTTGATGATTAAAGAAAAATACCGAGGTTTCAAGTACTTTTGAAACTTTCTGACTGTATTTAAAGCAGGTATGAAGGCTAGCATTACAAATCGACCAAAAGACATAAACTCATCTTTTCTATAAAAACAAAATGTGGTAAACAATAAAAATCTACAGCCTTACCTATATTTCCAATCGAGTTTACTCTTATGTAAGTACAACGAAAGCAATGGAACATCTGAGATTTCAGTTTCATGCCCACCGGCTTCTAACAACAAAACTTTCCAGTCAGCTATCTCCGATAATCTAGCCGCTTTAGATTGAGCGCGAAAAAACAAATATTGAAATTAAAATGAGAAAAAAAAGCACTTTGAAATTTTTGATCTTACCGACAACTGCTCCAGCTCCCCCTGATCCAACAACGATAAAGTCATATTCATGATCGACCTCTTTAACATTAAATGGTCGATTTTCAGGGTCAAATACATCGTAATGGTAATAAGCTAATGCAGCAATTAATACGGGGATAATAGCTAGTTTTCCCACTCCAATAACTCCTGTGGCTACTTTAATTCCAGTTGTTACTGTCGCTGCAATTTTTCCAGCACTCGCGGCTGCACTTGTAGCTATTCCAATGGCAGGTATTACTTTCAATGCAACCCCGCCTATCGCTGGCAATAATTTACCTGCCGATAATCCGGCAGCTATTCCTATAACCATTATTGATTTTAACTTTCTTTATTATTTACAATTTGCTTCTGTTGATATTCACTTAAATCTTTTTCAATTATTATCTTTTCTCTACTTAAACTTCAATTAATCATTCAAACACGAGTACGGTATGATTAACATTGCATATTAGTATCTGTTCACTTATCCACAAAATCACACAAATATTTTCTTCAATTGTTATTCAATTATTCACACAATAATGCGACCGCACACAAATAATTGGCTTTCTTCCTTCCAATGATTAATATTTTGCAATCAAATATAATTTTTATGCCACTTTTCTTCTCTTTTATTATGTCTTGTACTTTTCCGAATTATGGAATAATAGACATTCACTATAATTATTTATTATTTTTTCATGTCCGATTTAAATTTTGGATTATTTGATTGTTGTGTGTTGAAAAGAAGATTACTTTTATTGAGTCATTTATAAAGTCTTGTAATTCCTATTTTTGCATTGTTGTTGAATAAATCGTTTGTTGTTCAAAATTGTCGTGCTGAATGAAATGGATACTACCTAAAAGATGGATAGATAGAATTTAATAATGTAACTTATTCACTCAAGCACTGTTTAAGCACCACATATTTTCGTATTTCACTTCTTATTATTAATTTTTGTGTTCAAAAGCTTTGAGATTATCAATGTGGGATATGAATGTAATTCAAACTGTTTAATTATGAAATGTCCCCATATACTTCAAGTGATTGTTGTTAAGCATTGAGAAATATCATAATTTAGACTTGCATGAATTTTGTATAAACATAATTAGCTTTTGTGGATCATATGTACATTGTTTAGAAACTGTCTGGGTCATTCGGTGATTGTTTTCCGGATTTATGTTTTAATGAATTTAATTTTAAATTAAATGTTGTTTGAGAAAATGTGTCCCTGAGTTCGAATATTCCTTTAGTCACTCGATAAAGTGGAATTCAGCTGGAACTACTTCTACCAATTTTTATTTAAAATTGATTTATGCAACTTTTAAAATCTCCAGTATTGTCAAGCATGTAGGAACTTCAGCTTTTAATTAAAGCCCTTGACAATAGATCAATCTTGAGTTGTCATTCCAAATCAGATCACTCGGTCACTAATCCATCTCAGCTGATTAACATAACTATAGCTTGTATTTATCAAAGTAATAATAATAATAATGTCTTCAAATTTGAAAATTTTGAAAATTTTATAATTTGAAGAGAAAGGTGAAATATTTATTCACTGAGTCTATTATCGCATAACTTGGTGTCAATTTGTTAAGCAGACGCTGAAATATTATATTCTCTTACATAAATATGGCAGCTAACACCTTTGATAAATCAACCATTATTTAATTTATATCAATTTCTTTGACAATCCCAAAAACCAGCCTTTTTGCAAATTTTCAAACTCAAATAGAAGCAGTCCATTAATAATCCAGATAAGAAAAAAAAAAGTATAGTCGAAATGGGCATTTCGAATCAGAAATGCCTGGCAGAAGCTGTTTTCTATTAGAAATATTGAATCAAGCATATGCTTAGCTAGAAACCTTGTAAAGTAATCAAATAAAAGTTGAAATGATTTTTGACATCTTGCATAATTTTAAAATAAACCTTTCGTTCATTAGATTGACAGTTCATTACATTTGCTTCTTTTACTTCCTCTTAAAAATCAAATTAGAATGGAAAACTTCATTTCATGTTCGTAAACTTTGTATGTTGCCACAATTTTCATATTTTCAAAATTTAAATTCATGTTTTCGATTGAGATAGTTGATTTAATTTAATTTGACATTTTATTACACTAATTTAAACGAAAACAGCTTCTCAGATTCGTTAAATGCCCGGCAAGTTAAATTTGTGTGAAAAAGTGAGTTTTTAAAGAAAAACTTTCAATGGCACATTTTTAACACCGACTTTGTAATTAGCAAATCTAGCAACAAAAATGCTCTAAAGATTCGACACGCTTTATAATGAACCAATACTAATTACATTTCTCTTATGGCAGAAAGTATCAGTCTTATTATTAAATTACATGTAAGCGAAAGTACCAAAGTCTTGGAATTGCTGACTGTAAAAGAACCTGTTTGTGGTTTTGCAAGAAAAGCTGGTTTTTCACAACGAATTCTCAATTAATTTACTTTTCTGACAATTGTAATGAAGAAAATGATTGTGGACTCGATTGAATATCAGTAAATGAAGTATCTGTTCGCGCTCAAAATCTCAAGCACGTGTAGTTCAAATTACATTTAATTAAACGACTTCATCAGATCAATTCACCTTCGAATCAGCTTCGCTAATTCATGAAATGAAATTAGGAAATTTCTTTCAGTTAAAAAAACCTCATTTGTGTGTCATTGCATTAATGAAAATCGTTTTTGTTTGTAAATTTTTATGTTTTATTTTCAATAACTTCAATGCCTTGACCTTTAATTCCAAATATGCACTATTCAAATTCGATTGTTAAGAATTAGCTCTTTTTTTTTGTTAATTCATTGAACATTCGGACATACGGATTCGGTTGTAAGCGTATGCATGCATTGAAAAAAAATGGTCATTACTGGTAAATTCAATGGAAAAACTAATCATTTTGAAGCGTTTAAGCTCTTTACATAAGCTCATACGCAATATTTGCACCGGCTTGAGTTTAAGCAATAGATGCAAATAATTAATGAGTTTACAACTCGATAACGTTTTGTGGCCATTCTTCACTGTCTTTGCGGAACCAAAATATTGCCAAAAAAATAAATTAAAATTTTAAAATAATTAAAGTTGAAGCACGAGATGTTTAAATAGTCAAGAAAACGAAAGTATATAAAACAACAAATTTTCTTCTTTTGTGCCTCTGTTTTGATAGTTCAGTTTCATTTAAAAGAAAAGAAATAATTTTTTTCCATTTCAATTAATATTCAAACGAAACAAAAAGAAGTGTTTGCGAAAATTGTATTAAAATATTTTCATATGACTATTCACAACAGCACCTATTATGCTGGAAGTGAAAACTAGTGTAGTTTAGATACAATAGTTTAAAGTCATAATGAGGAAAAATTTAGATTAGAGCTTTAATAAATGAGTTTGTGTGTAGAAATAGTTGCGTAATATGTTTGATAAATGCAACAAGTAACAACATAGAAGCTCAATTGCTATTATCAAAGTATAATTTTATGACACACATTTGAGCAGGTTTTGTAGTTTTTACTTTCTTTGCAGTTTTCTTGCTTCTCAGTCTTTCGCACACTCTATATTACCGTAATTTTAGTAGTGCTGTTATGACATATTCACAGTTGATTGTGATGTATGATGAATTTTATAAGAGAATGAAAACGAAACATGTGAAGCTTAAAGTAAGATCGCTTTACATGCGCTTGGAGAAAATTGTCTGCTTTGCCAAGAGAAAGGATAAATAAATGCAGAAATCAAGCGTCTCAAGGTTGTTTCATCCCTCCATTCATGACCATTGTGTGATGATGTAATGGAATGTTTATTGGCATATTTAATCAAGTTACAGGGTTGAGGAATGGAAATATTAAGCAGGAAGTTTCAATTTAAGGTTAAACTAAGTTTGACATAGACATACCAATTTATTTTCTTACTCTTGCTTAAGACATTCATCTAATCACCAGCCATAACTTAATGAAAATAAGAAGAAGTTTATAAAGAATAGAATTTCTAGAGTTAACATTTAAGTCATCTGAAGTCATGCTAACAGCAAAATAGTCTAAATGAACAAATCATGTCACAACCCTGACAGCAATTATTAATAAAACTGAAAATTTCACTTGCCTTGGTTATTCATTCAAGCATAAAAGGACATGAACGGTATAAACATTACAGTCTAGAGTTATTATCATGAATAGTATTATGACCCACAATTTTATGATAGTGTAGAGAAACTGAGGTACGTGCAGTTTTTCGCACGAGCTTTAAATTGTGATGAAGATCTCAGAGAATCAGAAGAAAATTTGTGTACAGTCCGTTACGTTCAAACTGTCTATTTCATTATGTTTGGAAATAAAGTGCTACTTAAAGAATTTTTTTTTGGAGAAAATCATAAAAGCAATTTAGATTTAACGGTTCTTTAATTTGATTACAATTAGTCTGGATGTTCAAGTTGAGAATAGAGAAGTTAAAATTATTTTTTCGGAGAAGTAATTTGTTCTTATTTAATGCAATAGCTTTATTGCTTTATTAGAACTGCATTAATGAATTGTTGAATTTAATAAAGTAGAATTTTTGAATTTTTATGAAGACCAAGCCGCTATTTCTTTTTAAAAAATTAAGACAAATAATCTCAACTCTTAAACAGATTTCTAAACATTCATCTCCATTAATCTTCTGCTCGTAAAGAATGCTTATCAATCTCCATAAACACATGTATATGCTCCATAAAATTTAGAAATTTCAAACTCTTTTTTTGAGTAATTTAATAAATTTTCTAGCAAAATGATTTTCATTTTTACCATTTAGTTCCATTATAAAAATGACTCAGACACTGAAAAAAAATCCAATGCTGATGATCCGAAAAATTGAATTGATCTTGACTACGTGAATAAATCATTGAATAAAATTAAATTTAAGCGTTCCAGGCGCTTTCCTAATCTTCAATGTACAGTTTCTTTTTAAAATTATTGCGATAAATTAAGTTAAATATCGAAAAAAATTTCAATAAAAAAAAATAAGACGTGACCAATAACACTTAGCCAGTCATTATGATGAAAGGTACGAATTTTTCGCAATGAAATTCATAATTAAATCAAAAATGTTCAATGATTCAAAGACGATTTATCAAAATCAAACATATGTTTGCAGACATTGAGATGCTTCAATGTTGTTTTGTATACTTTTTCTTTCTTTTCAAACTCGTATCTTACAGACATTTGCGGAAATGCACAAAAAAATATGTTGCATAAAAAAGTGCAATCCAATGCTCGCTTCCAGCAGAAGGAAAGAAAATTCCATCTTTATTATGTAACTTCACACACGAAGCCCATGGCTTGCAGTAATGCACATTTTTTAATATTAAAATGCAATTTCAAATAGTGAAAGATGCAATAAATAACAATATTTCTCGTATGGTCATGTAACTTTCAATTTAGCATGGCTAATTTCATCACTATAATGTTTACTTGCAAACTCAATTTTGCCAATATTTTATCATCAAACAATCACCACAAAATGATAATCTTTTAATTTAATTTAAAGATCACTGATATTTATTTAATATTTTATTATCTTTTCTCTCATTTCAGGTAAAACGATTCACTTACTTTCAACTTTTTCTCTTCTTCGTGATATCAGTAAAAACTATATTAAATTAAGGTAAATCGAAAAATTGTTATATTTTTGTGGGACATGACGCGCGATAAAGTTTTGCGTAAGAAGAAAAAAAAAGTAGCAAACTGCAAAGCACTACCGACTTTTTGAAAGAAACAAAAAATTTATTCCGCGGTAATAATGATCTGTACGTTTGAATGCGATGAGAGCTCGACCAAAACTAAAGAGCATGGCAAACATATTCATGTTTTGAGTTGCTTTGCTGTACTTACCACTGCTCATATTGTATATTTTGGAGTAAGTCTTGGCAATTGGAGAAAAATACACGAAAAAAAAATTGAAGTCAATGAAACCCGAGCTATGCATTACCTGGAAGTAGCATTTTAGGGGTTGTCCATTAAAATTGAAGAGATTTGCTTATTGATTGTAATTTGATCATTTAATTTTCTCAGAACTTCTTGTGTAACTTTAAAAAAGTCCCGTTTTGCTATCATTTACACCTCGGAAAAGTCTTGTGATTGTGTGCAGCATTTTATATCTGTACACTGCTCATTTTCAACAGAGCGGTAACTTGTTGATACTTACTCGCTAAATACTTTCACTTATTCTCCTTCGATACTGCTCTGTCATATTTTTGATAGTGTTTACAAACAGTCTTAACAAATTATTTGTAGGAGCATTTCCTTTCATTATTTTTATGGGGCCTGATCAGTTGTTGCTAAAAAATATCACATTACGGCTGCATTTTTATTGAACCTGCATAATTGGTCATTAATTTTTGTGTAAGAGGAATGTAAGACTGCAAATTATGTTGTACTAGTTATGGCACTCATAATTCATAATTTACATGAAATATTATTATTTCTAATGGTCGAATGTGTGCCACTGAATTGCATAACTGATCTAGTGCAATTGATTTGAGTTGCGAAAATATGAACAACAAGTTCAAGTGAAGATTGTGGTGAGGCAAAAACAAATCAAAGTCCAATATTGACCTTTATTAATTATTAACAGCAACAAAAGAGAAAAATCTCATTAAAAGTGCATTAAACGGTCGTGAAAATTAACTAAATCATCAAACATAATCAATGATTTACGGTTGTCAATATTTTTTTCACCTTTACCGCTGTAATTAAAGCAATCAGTGTGGTCTATAATAGTAATGTTTCAATTTGCGGTTTTATTGCATGGACAACTGATTTTTTTGATTGAATCTCACTTGCAAAAAAATCGAGCTTTTGCATGATTCTCAGGTTTGAAATGTAATTGAATAGGTTTTGCGTAATGCCTTTCTATTAAAAGTACTCACATAAAATTATTTTTTCTTAAGAATAGCTTTTAATCCTTTCTAATGAAAGTGCACATTTAAATTTGTATTTTCTGACATAACTTTCGATACTCTATTAAGATTGATTTAACGTTTAATCTCACTTTGATCAATTTCGTGCTTAGGATATGAATTCACATAAAAGTATTAAATTGAATTTCAATTACAGGTAATAATGCAGAATTAACCTTGGTTATTATAATCGACAGATTTTTTTTTTTCGCAATGTAAAGTTGTGAGCTAAAGTCATGTCGATATTTCATGTTGCGAAATGTTCACAGGTACCTAGGCTTTTGATTTGCTTTTCATGTTGATTTATAGGTTTTATTTACAATCTTAGAATTGTGACAAATTTAATTCAATTTTCCAGATTAATTTTAATAAGTTTGAGACATCTTAAAATATTAAACCTTATATAGGCAAATCTGCCAGTGCAAGAATAAGACGTCTGTGGCGCGAGATGCAACAGACTGGATATCTTTATTGCTTTTTTGTGAGATCGTAGGATCGATTCCTAACAGAGACTGATTTATCAATCATTATATAGAATGTTGATGATATGACAAGAATTCGCACATTGTTCATGACATCATAGCTTGACTAATGTATCAGTTCAAGAAGTTGAATGAACTGTTTTGAAATGTACAAAAAACACACCTATCGAATTAGCATACAGTTATAATTCTCTTGTGTCAAATTCGAATTTCACATAGTGTATTTTATTCAGGATCAACCTACACTTACGGCTAAGCTTTTATTTTATCAACGAATCATAATGAATTGTTCACTTTGACTGTTTGTAATTATTAACCATTTAGTGCTCTATAAAAATTAATGAAATTTATGGAAAAATCCTCATTTATAGTCACCATTCAAAATGGGAGTATTCGAAATCCCTTCCTGTCACTTTTATGGCATTACACATTTTGATGACATTATTGCAAATTCTCTTTCTTTTCCTCTTTTAATGACATTAATATACAAAACCTATTACATCCCATTATATCATCAGTAAGAGTCAATTTCTGAAATCTCAAACTAATGTCTACTGTATGATATTTAAATATTTTTTTGTAACACTGTTTGATTTAAAAATATAAAAAAGTCAATAATAGTAATAACAGTTTTTAACCTCGAAATTAAATTTTTTTATCTGTTTATTTTGTCTACCAATTTCAATTGCGACATCACCAGAAAAAAAAAAATCCCCAAAAGTTAATAAGTTTTACAAAAAGTAAATTGTAATGCCGGATAATAAATATCATTGTCGCTGATCGCTATCAATCTCATTCTTCAATTTCATTTTCAATCCAATTCCAATCCGATTTAATTATGTCAGCTCCCTTTTCTGCAATCATAATTGTTGCTGCATTCGTATTTGCACTCGGTATTTTTGGCATAATACTTGCATCAATAACTCGCAGTCCCTTAATGCCTTTCACTTTTAATGAAGGATCAACGACTGTAGATGGATCATTATAATTACCCATTTTGCAAGTTCCAACTGGATGGTATAATGTTGTTGAAAAGTAAGTAATGTAGCACTTGAGATAATCATCTGATGCGAATTCATGAACATCACATTCAGGCATATTAAATCTCACTTCTTTTACTTCATGATCTTTAAATGTATTTGTGTCTAATAGCCTTCGTAGTTCTTTCAAACCTCTCAATAATGTTTCGAGATCTTCTTCATTTTCCAAGTAACCGGCATTAATGATAGGCGCGTCGTATGGATTTGTACTTCTTAAATTAACACTTCCGCGTGATTTTGGGTTGAGGAGAACATTTCCAATTTTTAAAATTGGTGTTTTCTTATTGATTTTGAATAGCTCTGCTAAATACTCATCACCATATCCGAAATTACTTAATATTTGTTCAATTCCAATCATGTTTTTGTAGAAGCACATGAACAAATATTGAATATCTGGATACTTAGCTTCTTTATCGAGTGTATTAATAAATCCAATCATATCTGAACATCCAGTTCCTGTAAGTTTACCAACTCGATGTCTATAGAATGAAAATAGCATGTCACTTATATCCTGTGGTGTTTGATCTCTAGCTTTTGATTCATGATATAATAAGAAAAACATATTCATCACATGATCTTGTAGATTTTGTCCAACAGGAAGATTTTGAATGACTGGAATGTTGAACTTTTCCAATTCTTCAGCTCTTCCTATTCCTGACAACATCAATATTTTTGGAGATGATACAGACCCAGCAGATAAAATTACTTCCTTTGTTGCAAATGCTTGTAGATGTTGACCATTGACATCAAAATTAATTCCTTTTACATGCTTATCTTCCATTACGAGTGAAGTAACAAAAGCATTTTTAATAATGTGAAGGTTTTCACGATCTTTTGCTGGGATTAAAAATGCTTTTGCTGTGCTGTGTCTCTCACCATCTTTTAATGTTCCTTGTGATTGAACAAATCCAATATTTTCTTCAGCATTTATGTCCATTAATTCAATATATCCAAGTTCAAAGACTCCTTCAAATGCAACAGTTTTGATAGTCTCAATACTGCTAAATCCATCAACAGACAAAGGACCATCATTATTGTGAAATCTGTCTCCTGTAAGCTCAAAAAGCCATTCTTGCTTATTTGTCTCAGACTTTTTGTAATACGGTAAAACTGACTCGTAACACCAATCATCAATATCCCATGAATCATGGTCTTTACGGTTTCCACGTACATATAACATTGCATTTACTGCGCTTGATCTTGGGAAAATTTAATAAAAATTGATGATTTGGCAAAAAAACAATATTTACAAGATTAACTGCTTACCCTCCCAACGTCTTTCCAGACGGCCAATAACATCCTTTGCCATACGCTTTGCTTGCTTTTTCAGATTTCTCAGCAAAATTGTTCCATGTAGTCGATGTATTCCATACTGATGTGAAGAATAATGGAACCTAAAATAAATTATTCAATTGAGTTATAAAAAATTCATCAAAAAGCCATAATCTACCCTAAAAACAGATTTGTTGCAATCTAGAGATTAGTGTCAATGAAAATATTCATAATGCTTTACCTTACCGTCTTTCATAATAAAAATGTCTACTTTGAATCAATATTTATTACCGAAAAAAATTATTTTTATTAAGTTATCAATCAATTGAAATAGCAAGCAACTTCCAGTAAGCAAAATTATCTTTTATTGATTGATAAGTTACTCAAGTTGCGTGTACAATGATCATAAAGAGATGCATAATTTATAGCTCAGTATGAGACGATTTAGGTGCTGCGAAATCTTTCCATTCTCTTTTTATAAAATTTGCTCCTTTTTCACCTATCATGACAGTCGGTGCATGCAAATTCCCTCGTATAATTTTTGGCATTATACTCGCGTCGATGACACGAAGACCTTTTATACCTCTCACTTTTAATTGATCGTCTACTACGGCATCTTTGTCACTTTTGGGTCCCATTTTTACTGTGCCACTTGGATGATATCCAGTGTTTGTCATATGTCTAATGTAGCACTCCCAATAGCCAGGCTCATCAAATTCAATGTGTGCACATCCTGTGATGTTGACTTTTATGAAGAAACATTGGTGCTCTTTTGAAGTTTTTGCGTTCATTAATCTTTTCACCATACTTATGCCACGAATTAATGTCTCTACGTCTTCATTATTCTCCAAATAGTTTCCATAAATCAAAGGCTTCTCAAGTGGATCTTTACTACGTAATTCAATTTTGCCTGTTGATTTTGGCTTTAGTAGCCTGACCATAACCATCATAAGCTCAGAACGAGATATTCCCGAGAGTATAGATTGATTTATTTCATCGTCGTATCCGTAATTCTTCAAAGTTTTTCTAAGTCGACTTTCCTCACCCCTACGATATTGGAAGAATTGTAATTGAATGTCTGGAATGTCTGCTGAAGCGTTGCGTGTATTGAGGAAAAATGTCAAGTCTGTTACGCCAATATGACTTGTGCTTCCAACACCATGCTGAAGGAAATGATAAGTGTCATCAACTTTATCAGCATCTGTCATTAATCGAGCCCATTTAGCATGCAATTTTATTGGAACAAAGACAACTGGATGATCTTGGAGGTTTTTTCCAACACCTTGCACATCTTTATTCACACTAACGCCAACTTTCTTTAAATGTTCTTTTGGACCGATTCCAGAGTTGAGTAAAATTTGTGGACTTCCAATTGCACCAGCCGATAAAATTGTCTCATAAGTTGCTTTTGCTTTAAGTTTCTTTCCGTTCACAATGAATTGAACTCCTTCAGCTAAGCCACGATTGTTCAACAGAACTTTTGTCACTTGTGCATTTTTAATGATATGAAGATTTTTACGATCAGCAATTGGAAGAATAAATGATGTAGCTGCACTTTGTCGAATTCCTTTCTTAACTGTTCCTTGAAGAATTGAATATCCCATTTGTGTCTCACCATTTGGATCCATTGTAAATTCTAAATTGATATCACCAGCTGCATTTGTCATCATATCCTTAATTGGATCAAAACTGAAAAAGTAATCGACATGCATAGGACCTTTATCTCCATGCATTGCAGCCCATTCTTGATCTTCTTTTGCGACTGTGTTGTTTTCTGATTTTTTGAAAAACTTAAGAAGGTCTCTGAAATTCCATCCTTTGTTGCCTAACTCTTCCCACCTGAAAAATTGATTTAAGATCGTAAGACTAGCACAAAACAAACATTGTAAGCAACACTTACTCATCATAATCAGCGCGATTCCCACGAGTATATAACATCGCATTTATCGAACTAGTTCCACCCATCAATTTTCCTCGTGGCCAATAACAACCATCCGGCATTCCCAGACATGCTTTATCAGTTTTTTCCATATAATATTGCCAGTCATATTGTGTTTTTTGCATTAAATAATAACTTGCCGGTACCTAAAAATAAATAAAAATAATTAGAGATAAGATAAAGTTTAAGGTTGATATTTACACATACCAATAGACACAATACAGTAGCATGCGTTACAAATACAGGTTAATGTATGGAATTAAAGATAATTCTAGTAAAGTTCCAAGCACCGAATATAAAATTTTTTAAAGGTCGATAAATTTTTCACTTTTTATAAGCTTTAGCACTTTATGCACTTCTTTCTTCATGATTGCATCAAACGATGCAAAAAAAAGAGTTAATAAAAATTGCAACAATATCCATAAAAATGAAAAGAAAAGTAGGTTAATGCAATTATTGCTTCACTTGCCTCACTTTCAATTGGAGGATCTCCTCCAGCTTCGACTAATAAAACCTTCCAGTCTTTATTCTCAGTTAAACGATTTGCCAAAACACTACCTAGATGATAAATTAATAATTATCGTTAATTCAGTGATATGATAGTGCAATTTTTGATAATATTAAATTTACCTGCACTGCCAGCACCGACAATAATGAAGTCATATTCTGGTAATCCATCTTTCAATGCTGTTTGAGCATAATCCTTTGGCCATTTGTCTGCTGGTGATATTGCACAATGTGCAGCAAGTAGAGTTTGAAATAGTAATCCAAATAAGCTGTTTGCTGTTCCAATGCTTGTTGCAGCACACGTTTGTGGAATAAATTCCATAATTTTATGCTACAAAAATTTTAATTTCGACTAGCTCGATTGACTTGCAACTAGAGAGTAAGTTTGGGACACGTAAGTGAATTCTAATAAAAATGACAAAGATAAGACTGATAAGGGTCGAGGTAGTGCTTGCATATGTGTGGGTCTAGATTATTTATTTTGAGGGAAAGTCACAAAATACTATTTTTATCTAAAGATAAGATAACAAATTCAATGAACCTTTTTGTTTTGGACACTAATATTTGATTATACAATTTGTTTTATGCTACACATGTTAATTCTATTAAAGTGTTATAAGCACTGATTTACAAATAATAATGTGCGCACTTCTTTTAAGCTTTTTGGCATGTGAAGTATGAATCACTAGAAATTAGAATTAAACTTGAATTCCTGAAATGCACATTTTCACATGAGGTAAAGTTTAAAATCAGTTTTTGGTTTCTAATACTTTTTATCATCGATTGAAACATTCAATTAATAATTCTTTAGATAAATTTTCAATTTATCAGCAATAAACTACATTTTTCGAGAAATGATATATTCTCAAGTGATTTACTCTAGTTCAGTTTTCCGCAACAGAAAATCATTTCGAACTTAATGTGTCTGAACTGTTTGTAACTTTAACTTTTTAAGCTAATTGATGTGTAAGGTCAACTATAAATAAATTGAGTGTGAGTATTTTCATGACAAGCTTGCGGAAAATGCATAAGTTCAGTTATAAATTATTCATTGAGTATGCAGACCTTACTTGTTAGCTATTCAGGTATAAAATATGTTTTTATTAAAATATCATGTTAAAGTATTATTTATGCATAAATATTGAATGATTTTTGAGTTCAAATAGTTTAGATTAAGCATTGTTTATAATTAAAATATCTTGTGAAGCTTTTTAACAAAAACTTTATTTTGAAAAAAGTAAAAAATATTAACATCAAACTTAGTGACTTCGTATTAAGTTATATTCTTGTATGTTCCTATCATAAGTATTAATTGGACGTCTATAATTATCTAAATGCGAGTCGTATTCTCTATGATAATCTCTAAATCGATCATAATCGTCCCTATGTGGATTATAATTGTCTGCAGATCTGTCATATTCACTTCTATGACGAATATAGTTGTTTTCAGGTCTGTCATAATCATCCATATGTCGATTATAATAATCCATTTGACGATGTTCTGGCACATAATCAAAATCTTTCCTATGCATATTTCGAGATGCCAAATATTTTAATTTTATCATATCCGATGCTTTTTCTGCAATCATTATCGTAGGCACGTTTGTATTACCCGTCGTTATTGTCGGCATAATACTACAGTCAACCACGCGCAATTGTTTGATGCCATAAACTTGCAATTTTGAATCGACAACTGCCATTGGATCGTCACTTGGACCCATTTTTGCTGTTCCGCTTGGATGATAAATTGTTTGTGTATAATGTCTTGCCAAACATGCCCAGAACTCGTCTGATAACCGCTCATACTTTTCACATTCAGGAACTGTATTCGGATTCAATGTTGCGTTTAATGCTCGTAAAACTTTCGTTTGCATCATTCGATATCCGATTTTGGAGCCTTCAACCTGAATATTGTACAAAAAATTGCGTAAATATCACGAATGGAGTGTATAATAATATGACTTGCACTCACCATGACTTTTATATCTTGTGGATGCGAAAAGTAGTTTGGGTAAATCAATGGATATGAATATGGATTGTTGTCTTTCAATAAAATTTTTCCTCGACTTTTTGGACGCATTAAAAGTGGTGCAATCATAGTGGCATCTCTAAAAAGTATACTTTCATACACTTCTGCATAATAATCATCGGATATCCCTGATGCACGTTTTCCGAACATTCCACCGTCACTCGAATCAGCAAATGATGCCAAGAAAAATTGAATATCCGGTCGGTCTTCTTTAGGATCTTGATATTTTGTATTTACAAATCCCATCACTTCACATGCCGGCATTGCATATAGTGGACCGCGATGCTCAAGTGTAAATTCCCTTACTGTTTCGACTTGTAAAAGCTTTGGCACAACAATACTTAATGATTCATTATTAACTGGATTTGTGATAAGGAAACTTAAACCACCAGATGCAATGTGATCTTGTAGGTTCTCTCCAACGCCTGGCAAGTGATGGATTACTTTAATGTTTTTATCTTCAAGATGTTTTTTTGGTCCAACACCGCTAATCATTAAAATTTGTGGCGATTGAATAGCACCAGCTGATAAAATCACTTCCTTATTCGCAAATACTACATATTTACGGTCGTCTTTCGAGAATTGAACTCCATAAGCTTCCTTTGTGTCTGGATTTATCAAAATTTTTTCAACATAAGATTTGAGTGAAATGTGAAGATTATCACGATGTCTAGCTGGACGTAGATAAGCTTTCGCTGTTGACATTCTTAAGCCATCTCTTAATGATCCTTGCGAACGTCCAAAACCCGTCTGTACTTCGCCATTAAAATCATTATTTGGGTTTAATAATTTCATTTCTGCTGCTGCTTCTAAGAAAATTTCAGAAAGTGGTGAGACATAACGGAAATATTCTACATGCATTGGACCTCTAGAACCACGAATTGGATTATTTCTTATGTGAGGAATTTTAACACTTTCAAGCTTTTTGAAGTAGTGCAGAACGTCTTTGAATCCCCAACCTGAGTATGAAAATAGTTTATCACTGTTTAAGCATTCTATACACACTTTGAGCAATAAATATTAAACTCAGAACTTTACCTGGATTTCCAAGCGATTCCCATTCATCGTAATCCTTTTTGTTTCCTCTCACATACAGCATAGCATTTAAAACACTACTTCCTCCTAAAACTTTTCCTCTTGGCCAATTACATCGTCCTCCATTCATCGCAAGACAATAATTTTCCGATGGCTCAGTTCTAAACTTCCAATCTAGATCAGATTGTTGTAAAGTTGGAAAAACTAATGGAACTTCCGATAGATAAGTCTCGTCTGGTCCAGCTTCTAAGAGTAAAATATTCCATTCTGATATTTCTGACAATCTATTTGCTAGCACAGCACCAGCTGATCCCCCACCAATAATTATAAAATCGTACACATTGTAAATATGCTGCGTTGGAATGTCACGTACACGATTCTTATAATCTACAATATCTGGACGCTGCATCCAAATAGATGAGTCAAGCAACATCAGCATTAAAAATCCTGGTCCATATGAAAATAAAATTCTTAGTGCTGAGTATGTTCCAGCTAGTGTAACCATCACAAAATATTAAAATTACTTGCTACTATCAGAATAGTTAATAGAACTTGGCACATTGAGTGTATAATACTATCTGAGTGTCTGCGACACTACATTTTGCATTATTACAAGCATTTATGCTTTGGCATGCATTTTTAATATTTAAAGTCAACAATTGCAATGTGTAGCTGCAAAAAAGAAAGCATAAACACCTTATGAAATAATAACTTTTCTGGAAAAAGTGATGTCGTTGACACATTTTTTTATGGCGGGTTCTTTACTTTTTATTTCTGTAGAGAGAAATTTTAATCCAAGAGAAATTGTGGGCTTTTTCCCCAGTGAATTAAATGTTGCTTCAAGTGAGGTAATCTGGTGATTATTATTCTGTTCTGTAATAATTGCGGTTCTGAATGCCTGTTGAATAAAAATTCAGGAAAATTATTATGAAAGCTGCTTAAAGAAGCAATTGAGGTAAATGTTTTGAATTTAAGAGTAACAGTGGAGGTGGAAAATATGAATAATTAAGCTTAGAAGTATTAAAGGAAGTCACGTTCATGTAATTGTTGTTTTGTTGTTAAATTCAAATACTGATTAGCAAGATGCAGTCAGCAGTCAGTTTCTAACTGAGATAATATAAATCAGTAGCGTAGTGATTTTATGATTGAGTTAATAGAACCTTAATATCATACAAAGGCTTTGTAAATAAGCTATCAGCCTTCTTTTGTGATGTGCAAACAGTGGTTCCTTTGAATAATAATGTTGCTGGTCTAAGACACTGAGCGATTTACAAGTAACTTTGCTACATTCTTATTTTGTCTATGATAAGTTATATTATTCTATTAAAATCGATGTCTTAATAATTTTAAGGATTAATATTAGCAACTGCAATTAACAGAGCTCCAATTACTACAAATAGCAGAGATCCATTACCTCACAAAACCAAACCATTCATTTAAAATCCAAACACCAAAAACCACAACACTGCAAAGTTGAGTATCTCCACAAAAATTCCAACCTCTTGAATACCTTTCAGTCTATACGGAAACTTTTGTTGCTCTTGAAACACTTGTTGATGCCACATCGAACAGTTTTTCTCTCTTTGTGTCATATTTTGCTCTACTTTTTTGTGATAGGGTGAATGTTCATTAATCATTTATTTTTGTACAAATAATAATAAAAATAAATTCGGTTTAAATGTTCATGAACTTATTGCTTTATTTTTAAAAATAAATTCATACTATGTTAAAAATAGATTGTAAATTAAAGTGCAAAATGAGTAAATTTAATTGATAACAGAAAAATAATTAAAATAAGTTCTTTGGGAAGTAGACGAGTCGAAGGTTATAAATTTGAAAAATTTAAAGTCATGGCTAATTATTATCTGCATACCCGATATGATTTGATACGTTTAAATTGTTTGCTGATCAGACAGCTTATCTAATGCTAAAATAATTATTAATCAATAGTCAGCATATGATTTTTATGATAATTGATAGACCTAGCGGTATTAAATAGCTAAAAAATTTGGTAAGGCTCAGACAAAAAATTTTTTTAATTCTATAAACTACATATGAGTAATATCTGTGAGAATTGTACAAAATCATGTAGTCATAAATAAGTTAAATGATAAAAAAAATATAAATTATGGCTCTTATCACTTAAAGTTGTTCTTAATCCAAAAGTTTTTCATCATGTCTGCACCTTTCTCCCCTGAAAAAAAAGTCAACAGTTTAATTTCAATCCAAAAATCACCTCATTAATCACTTACCTATCATAATAATTGGAGCATTTGTGTTTGCACTGACTTGATTAGGCATTATACTGCCGTCAATTACTCTTAATCCTCTCACACCATAAACTCTCAATTGTGAATCGACAACAGCTGTTGGATCCCAATATGGACCCATCTTTGCTGTTCCAACTGGATGATAAATCTAATTGGAAATTAATCTTCATTAAAATATTCTATCAATTAATTTTTTTTTTAACTTACTGTTGCTGTGTAATGTCTTATCATACATTCCCAGTATGGATCTGAATATGCTTGGAGGTTTGCACATCCTGGGAATTTCAATGGACTTAACATTGACTTGAAGCGTTGCATTGACGCTGTTCTTGATAGTGCTACAGCAATTTTTACACCTTCGATTAATGTTTTCATGTCAAAATCATCTTTGAAGTAATTTGGATAAATGTATGGATAGTCGAATGGATTATTGCTCCTCAATTTTATAGATCCTTTACTCCTCGGTCTCAATAACATAGGAATAATACTCCATACATCCATATTATTAATTGGAGCAAATACTTTATTGTAGAATGCTTCAGTAAGCCCGTGAATTTTTCTCAGTTGACTTCCACCATCAGAATTCGTTGAACCTGACACAAAATGAAATTCAATGTCTGGAAAATCGTCTGAAGCATTAACGTATTTTGTATTAACGAATGCTAGTCCTTCAACTCCTCCCATAACTGTCAATGGTCCTTGTCCTAATACAGCATATTCCATGACTGTTGCCATAGTGTGAAATCGATTTTCTACAACAGACACCTCTTGATTTACCATAAATGTTAATCCAGCAAGTGCAACATGATCTTGCATATTTTCACCAACTGGAGCATCACGGATCAATGGAATTCGATGTTTTGCCAATTCAGCTTTTGGTCCAATACCGCTAAGCATCAACAATTGTGCAGAATTGATAGTGCCGCCTGATAAAACAACCTCCTTTTTTGCCCTAACATATTGACGTTTTCTTTCACGTACAAATTCTACCCCATAAGCAATTTTAGTAATTGGATCAATGAGGACTTTCGTTACGTGAGAAAACATTGCAATGTGAAGATTCGGTCGAAGTCGTGCGGGTCGCAAGAATGATTTTGCTGTTGAGCATCGACTTCCTCTTCGAATCGTACCCTGTGCAATCATAAAGCCAGTTTGCTTCTCACCATTTAAGTCACGATTCTCATATCCCATTTCAACGCCTGCCTCAACGAATGATGCTGCCAATGGAGTATGGTATGGTGCTTCGCCAATTGTTAACGGCCCACCCGTTCCATGATAAGGAGTGCTTGCAAGATATGGATTTTGATTGTCTTCCGATTTTTTGAAATAATAAAGCACATCTTTATATGACCATCCTAAAAATAATAACAGAAAGTGCTGACTGTGAGAAAATATTGATTTAAGACACAAAATTAATTTTTAACATACCTGGATTACCGGCTTCCTCCCATGCATCATAGTCTTTTTTATTACCTCTTAAATAAAGCATATAATTTAACACACTACTGCCACCCAAAACTTTTCCTCTCGGCCAATTACATCTTCCACCATTCATCGCTAAAAGAACAATAAAATTTGTATATACTCGTGAATTTAATTATAATGATTTTATAGCTCACCCAAGCAGAAATTTCCAGACGGTTCAGACTTATATTGCCAATCCATTTTACTAAGTTGAAGATAACCAGCCATCAACGGTACATCTGATATTTCCGTTTCATCACCACCAGCTTCCAATAAGAGTACATTCCAATTCTCAACTTCTGATAAACGTGCTGCAACAACAGCTCCCGCCGAACCACTCCCAACTTGATAAAGATATTTAATTTTAAAATCAATAACTTTTCTTTTTATATAAAAAAATGGAAATTTATTTTCTCACCAACTATAAAGTCATACTCGGTCAATAGATTTTCTGTTGCTACATTTATTGGCTTCGATTCGGGATCAACAAACTCTTCATATTGAAAATAAGCGATGGCAGCAACAAGCATCGGTACGAACCATCCGGCGTTGCTTGCTGCCGTGCCAATTGCACTTGCTACTCCTCCCGCTATTGCACTACTCATTATTTGATGAAAATATCTTTTGCTTCACTTGCTTTCTTATTGAATGAATTTTTTTATGCTTATTGACTTGAGACTTTTTTCTCAAATTATCATCGCTATTCTGGAGAATAAGAAGGAAAGGTAAATGTTTATGATTAGAAAACATTGAAGGGAAATTTCTATTGATTTTGTTTAATGGATAATGATTTGATTTGTGTGCATTATTGGGATAAAATTGAGGTTTTGTTTGGTCATAGTTGATTGAGTTTAATCAATATTGATGTTATTGGAGATGAAGTATTTGGTGATTTTTATGTTTAAAGGTTTTTTTTGTGCAAGCTTTTTGTAAAATTTAGACAGAAGGAATTGAATTGTCATAAGCATTGTTTGAAGCCTTGTCATGTCGACAATATTCAATGTAATAATATAGGTGGGAATCGAACCAACGTCCTCCCAAATTTACATACTGGTCAAATAATCACACTTTAGTAGATTTGCCTAAATTTGGCTTTATACTCCTGCAACCACAAATGACTAGATGCAAAATTCATTTAGTTTGAAAATTTCAGTTTTTCGCACTCCTAATTATATTGTTGCTGTTGCATCACCTCATTGCAAAAATCAACACACATTAATAATAATTCACAATTTTATTATCATTCAATCATAAAGTTTTATGTACATTAAATAACATCATTCTGTTGCCAAAAAAAATTATTATTTCGGTCATAAACTTTGTCACGTAAATGAATTGAATGAGCTTTAAAGAAAATAATTTCGACATAAAACAATGCATGTACAAAAGATTATGTAAACGCAAAAAAAATTGGGTGAAAATTGAATTAAATATTCTGTGCAAATTTCTTTTAAATATTGAATGAAAAAAAGTTGCACAGTGAAATCAGTTTTATGCTAATTAAAATACAAACTTGCACACATGTCGCTGAAAAAACACACCGTATGATGTCTAATCATGGCATGAGAAAGTGTTTAAAGAAAAAGAATTCTTGTTCGATGACTGCGCGTGAATATCGAAACAATAAGATTAACACTTTCGATAAAGTTTTCATTTCTTCTTCACATCCAATAAACAATCAAATTTTATGATCATGTAGCGATACATGACAATCGTAACAAATGTTCTATTGCTTACAATTCCACTTACCTTGACCCACAAAAGCTTCTCTTCTTATTTTATTTTATTTTCTTTTCTTATTTTGCTGTCTTGCGATTTCGTTTTACAGTTACCGACGAGAAGTCCAACTTATTTTCTTTCTGTTTGCTGTTCTTCTTATTACTTTGTAATTTGAATAATGAAATATGAAGAATTTAGCACCAAAGTTTATAAGGGAATGTGATTTTTACTTCCATCAACAAAATACCGTTGCTTATTTAATGAAATTAAGACGACTCGCGAGTCACGTAACTCAATTATTTATCAAAACTTTATTTTTTCAAACTCATCACTTTTTTTCAGAGACGATTTTAACACTACGCGTTACTCTATAGAACTGAAGCGATCGATTGGAGTGTTGAATGAAGAAAAAGTCAACTTTTTTTTCTGCTTTCTTCCAATTCTTGTTTTATCGGCTCTTTCTTCATTTCTTTTTTACATGTATGCAATTGGAAATGATGTTTATGTTAAGTTTTGAGAAGCTTCCAACGAGAGAAACATGACATGCTGACTTCCAGTGTATCATTGTTATGATGGTCAAGATCAAGTTCATGCATGAGATGAAAAAGAGAGTTTTTTGAACCGAATCATGATTTTTAATGAGATGACGTAGAGGTATTAAAATTATAAACATTTACTGCTCTGAAAAATGGAGATGAGAGTCATGACGATGAAGAAGAATGTCAGCTATCTATGAGATGTGCAATGTCTGCATCGTTCAAAAAAATAGCTTGAGGATTACTAAAGTTTTTCACTTTGTGGTCGCATAATGAAAAAGCTTTTGTATAAATTCAATTGAAAGTTTCTTAAGCAGGTGTTGAATTTCTTATGAGAATATCTACAAAAAAAAAATGTCGAGTAACTTTTTAAAATTAAAAAAATTATTCTTGCTTATGAAAAATTCAATGTGTGAATCTAGAAACAGATGCTTGACATTCTTTACTGTTTGAAATTATATAATTAATCTTCTGGATTTGCGTCATACTTAATGATTAAATTGAGGATGATTTGAGCAATTTTGTATTGTAAAGAAGAATTTTTCCAAGCTCTAGAAATGATTATTAAAGAACTTAGGTGCCTTCATTTATTTTTCTTGAGTATTGAAAACGTTAGATCATTCGTTAGATCTTTCATTTAATAAAGTTGATTATAATTTATGAACGATCCTTAACGGATTCGGTTTTTATTAAGTTCCCTCTTCTCCTCAACATGCCAACCTAGTCTTAATATCGATTAATTCAAAGATGACCGAATTGAGTCACCACAAAAAAAAAAGAAAATCACCATCAACAGCCGGCATCTTTATATTATTTTGTAAATAAGCTTCGTTACTGCTTAGCAAATAATTGAAACAAAATTATTCCCAAAACTTTACTGAAACACCTTTGTCTCCAATAGAACCGAATTTCTCATCTTCTAAATGAGCATCTTTTTCTTCACAAAATAAGTTTACCTGATGATTCGCACGTTTTCATAAGTTTTCTTTCTCTTTAAACAAAAAAAAAAGTTTTTTCTTTCTTCTGTCGTATTTAACAAATGTAATGGAAGCTTACTTATTCCACTTTCCATTAACATAATTTCCATCCACACATTTCTTACAGAAAGTAAAAAGGAAAAGAAGAAGAATTTATCAATTTTGCAAGAAACGAAAACTTGTTGATTCACTAACAATGTGTTGAAAGTTGGAAATGAGTGTGACTGTTTATAAATTTGTAGTCAGATTGTCTCATTATTGATTATTCAATTATCGGTGTATCGTAATATAATAATAGCTTTTGTATTAAATTGATGCTACTCATGCGATGAAGACGACTTTCGATTTTTAGCTATGTTATTGAAGGGGTTTAGGTTTGTTTTATGTTGACTGAGGAAGTGACTGTTAAGGCTTTGATTAAGTGTGATAAATCTGATAATAATTAGAACGAATAGCACAACAAAGTCGTTAAGGCACCGCTTCATCACTGAGTTAACACGAGTAGAGTCAAAAAACGAGTAGGGGATGTAGTGGGTCCCACGACTACACCTCAATGCTTCATCAACTTATTCTAAAATATGCTGCTCGAGTTTTAAAATTTATAAACAATCAATATATTTTAAAACTAATGAACTGACCTCGACACTAAGATCAAATATTTAAAAAGGTTAAAATTATCATTCATATGATCGACTTCAAGGTTCAAGCTCCCACAAAATAAAAGCATAGCCTGTGATGTTTTTTGTTTCCGAGAAACTTGATACACTAGCAATTAAGATTGTATAACAGGTTAATGCACTTAATACCCACAAAAATAAACAATTTTCTTCAACTTGAAAAATAACCTGTCATTGACAGTGAAAAAAAAAACAAGGAATAGAATGCAGCATATACATACTTTGCGTGCTGATCAGAAGAAATAAAATAATTATAGAGACTAAAGTTGAATGACACACATTATTTACTAATTTTCTTCTTATGAATCATTACAGGTGGATGTTGTGGATCAACACGAAAGCGAACAATTGTCGGTGGATGGGCATGGGCATGGTGGTTGGTAACAGATGTTCAAAAGCTTTCCCTCGAAGTGATGACACTCAATCCAATGTGCGAAATGGTAGAGACAGCACAAGGTGTTGCTCTTACTGTCACTGGTGTCGCTCAAGTTAAAATCATGAAGGTGATTTCCTGATGTTAATGTGCAATTTAATTTCTTTCTTCTTTTTTTTCTCTCTCTGTTTTTGATTCCTCCTGCCTTATAGGACAGAATATATATTTAGAAATATATGATTTTTATTTTATTTTATATTCTTTAAAATTTGTTTAATATAATTTTTAAACAGAAAGAATTTATAACAAATATAACATATCTATAATCTATTTTTAAATATATAACCTATAATATTATGCATGCATGTCTAGTAAGTAGTGCCTAAGGTTCCTGGAGAGATTTGGTTAGCGCTGCATTAATGGCTGTTTGTCAAAAAAATATATAAGGAACTTCGCATGAATTTAAACAAATAATTTTTAAATAATATTTTTAATTCCCTTTTTGATCCTGCCAGCTCATTGCAAATTTATTTCTTCTTAATTTATTTAATATAATTTTATTTTTAAATGTTATTTTATTGACATTTTTCTGTTTCATAATTGTTGTTATAATTATTCGCCAAGCTTTCATGTCTCATTAAGCTATCACAAAAAATTGATTGGCATTAAAATGCTGTTCACATTCATTTTTACGTTCAATGTAAAAAACTGAACCCTGCCGTACGAATGTACGATGACGCTTAAAATTATTATTTTTTTTTCTCTACGGAAAAAAACTTTATTCGTGCTTAAAAATAATAGCCGCAATTTTAACGCTTTAACCAAGATGCTTTATTTTTGAACGTCAGAGATGCTGCATAATTGTTTATGATTATTCTTTATTTTTGTATATTTATATACTACGTATGTATTTTGTGTCGTGAGTGTTTATTATTTATTACCCCCGCAGACGTCTTACGTTCATTCATCTCACACAATGACTGATAACGACGGGACTAGCTCTCTTTCGTATATATTAAACTTTGTGATACTTTGTTCGTGAGAATATTGATGAGATTCTATAGAATTTTTTGAGGTTTAAATAATTTGAAATATTTGTAGAATGATTCATTGAGATTTTTATTTAAGTTCTTTGATATTTTTTGATCTGATTTCATGTCATCAAAAACGTTTAGAAGTTCAAATGGAAAATTTTTATAGATTCTTGATAGCTCACTAGGTGATGATTATAAAATAGCAAATTAATCAATAACTAGTTATATAGTTCGTCACAGAACTGTATTTGTTGATTTGCAATATTTTTTTAAATCTTAAACCTAATTGATAACAATTCATTTTTCCTGTCAGCAATAGCTGTCTATTTTTAAATTAAATCATAGATCGTTAAAAAGCTGCTGTCTCTTATCATTAGTCACAGGTGTAAAGCGTGGACACGCGAAGTTCATTTATTTACATAATAATGTTTCAATCTCAATGCTTTGAGATTTTTTTAATTTCGAGACTTCGGTTATTTGTTGTATCTCTCGTAGTGGAATTTTAAAGGCGTTGAAGGCAGGGAAAAATTAAAGTGACAGTTTCAATGCTTTAGAAGCCTTGTTCTATATTTTCTTAAATAAACGTTTTCGTGACTGTGCAAATTAATATTTTGCCTTTCTGTTGAAAAAGACCTCGATGACATTTTTCATCTACACAAGCTTCTGTGTATTTCAAATTGCCTATTCACGAGAGACAAAGTAACGTGAGGAATAGGTGCTTTGGTAAAAAGAAATCTAAGGATGATGAGTTTGAACCTTAGATGACCAAAATTAAGTTTTTCGAATCATATATTCTAAATTAGAACTTTATGGGGCAACTTATTGCTTTTTTCTAAAGACTTCAGAAAAAAGCTTTAAGATCCCAAAATTTAGCTCATCCGCGAATTTAATAAGATAATAAAAATAAAAAAATTATTTCAAAGGAAAGAACAAGTTTAGATTTGCCTCTGTAATGATATCATATTAAACAGCCCCCATCAATCTTAATTTCTCAATTTTCTACGGAAAATCAAATGTAAAAAGAGACGACAGCTTTTTGACATGAAAAAAAATTCTATTTTGCTTCTTAATTTCTATGTTTTTTTTTGCCTTTTAAAATCTTTTTTTCTCTTCTCATTAAATATGCTTTAAGACTGTACATAAATTTTTATGAATTTCTGAATGGTTTTTTATTTGGTCTTTTTAGAGAACATTTTGTGCTTTTGGTTTGCTTTTAAAAATGATTTACTTTGAGGAATTACATATTAAGGGATCTCTAAATTTAAGAAAAAACTCAAATTGCAAAAAAATAAACTTTGAATTTTTTTTCATAAATCAAAAATCAAAAGTTATGCTCCATACTTAAAAGCTTCAATAATAAACTTTTGAATTTTAAAAACACTTCAAGGAGACTTAAAACTGTATAAAACCATAAATTTTACATTATTTGAAAAGCCAGCATAAACCACAGAAACATAAAAGTAAAATACGACCATAAAAAGTTCATTTTCGTTTCAAAAATTTTCAATTTGGAGCTTTTTAACGTTCAGTAATGTAACATATCGAGATCATCGAGTCATGAATTTCCGCTCTTATTTCATTATCGTATTTATTTTTATATTATATCATTTTTTTTGTAAATTATCATTTCATTATTCATCGTTACTGCTGGTACTGTAGCATTTGATATATAGATAGATAGCTAGTAGATGTAGAAGTTAAGCATGATGAGCTTCAATATTATATTCTTCCCCTCTTTTCGCTGTCATTTTTTTGATTTAATGCACCCAATTATTTACACATTTTTATTACAACAATAAAGTATGGATTACTTTTCCTTACAAGATTTGTGGCTGCTGATGCTGTTGTTTGGTGTTTGATGTTGTGAAAGAATTTAAAAATTATTTTAAACCTTATTTGTTTAATTCCTTTATGTTTTTCATTTACGGAAAATTTTAATTTTCATCTTTTATGCCATTAATATTATTTACTTACTTTATGATTCTCATTTCAGTTCTAATTTAATATATAATTTGTTATTAATTTAATTAACCATTTATAATTTTCATACACGATAAAAAAAAATATTCCAAATCCGATTTATTATTTATGATTTGAAATACAAAAGAACTAGTCGCTTGTGATTTAAAAAGTAATATGGAAGAGAGTTGTTGATGATGTGAGAAAAGGAAGTGATGGATTTTGTGAAACCAGTAGAAAGTCAATTGTAAAACATTTTTTTAAAAGAAAACTCAATATGGCCCAGCCGTCTGCTCTTCAGCCTTTTTGTGGTGTCTATGGAGCTCCGCTTGCACTTCGCAACGTCCATTCCATGTTGTTATTGCTATATAGAATTTTTGTATTACACAAACACACAAAGTACTTGATAGTATTTTGAATTTGAAATGAGAGTGAATGCATCTGTGGAGTCCAGCGTACAGCAGCGGCAGAATGATGGGCCATGGTGTGCATCGCAAATGCGTTTGGCGTGACAAATCAAATTAGAACAAAATACACACACAAAATATCACACAAAAAAAAATTATACCGCCGTTTAGCCAAATGCAGGCCGCCAGCCGAACCAGCAAATTCTCATTCCATGCCTTTTCTTTTGTATTTCATTTTATAGATGATGAACGTGTATTATTTTCATCACCAGGCGGACGAACTCTTGGGTACGGCTAGTGAGCAGTTCTTGGGCAAATCGGTGAAGGAGATCAAGCAAACAATCCTACAGACATTGGAGGGACATTTGCGCGCTATCTTAGGTTTGTTATCAGACATAACACGAGAGTAAAATGAAAAAGAATTATATGTCATATATCCAACGGTCATATTTCATTGTTCACATCAAGAAGAAAGTTTAATAAACTGTTATTGTGCATACGTGACATTTTGAGTGTCTGCATAAAGAATTGCAGTCATAATTGTTCGCGAAGAATTGGCTCAAAGAGGAATTTCGTGATTTATATGACGTTTTTCGTCATTCCGCCTTTATATGCGTTTCTGTGCTTCTATAATTATCATGAAAGAGATGCAAGACGAGCCCTCAAGACATACATATGCAAACATGCATGTAAAGAGGAAACGAGATCATTCACAAATACATTAAAGTTTATATACGGTGATATTGGGGTCAATGACAGTTATACTGAGTCATATTACCCGCCGTCTTTTCAAAAAACGTGGTCGGTTTCTTCATCTAATGTTAAAAAACCGGCTGTGTTCTTCTTCTTCTTTTATGATTTCCTTGAATTGTTCAAAGATAAGACTTCCATAAATTTTGACACAAGAACCAATATTGACAATTCGATTTGCGTCAGTCAATTTAAAATAATAATAAATTATTGTTAAAAATAGTGTAGAAAGAAGAACGATGATGAAATATAGCGTGGCTTGTAGTTGTATGGAAGTAATTGTTGCTAAGACGAGCTGTTTGAACAGCAGTACTCAATATTCATAAACTCGCTCCAAATTTCCTTCGTCGTACCTCAACATGTGGCTTTAAACTTGTTTTTTTATTAACCTTTGTTGTGACGTCAAATGACATTGGGGTTAACTTTAATATTTAAATAAATAATTGGGTATTGCAACATCATGAGGCGCTTGAATGCTCTTCAAAATTAAACCTGTTCTCAATAACATGATATTCATCGGAAGTTCCCGAATGTGCTATTTTTAAAGCTTGAATATATGACAAAGAGAGTCATATCAATCTATAACATGCAATTTCGTCGAAATGTGAAACAAAAAAGTCTCTTACTGATAAGGTCGCGTATAATAACAAAAGAACGACATTTATAGTATTCCGTTTGTCAATAATCATCTTTCTGTATTAAATAATATGATTTTAAATCACTTGGGACAATCCCATAAGAGCAAATAGTAGAGCAAAGCTAAGTCTACGTCAAAATGAACTTAATCTCATCTCACTTTATTATTAATATTGAGCAGAAGTACGTAATATAACGCTTTTGAGACTCGATCAGTTGATTGTGCCTTCTCAATTACACACGAAACACATACGTCGCTATAGACGATGATGACGTTTTGAGCTCGGGTTTTTTTCCACACAAAAAAAAATCGAAAAACCCGAAGTCTCGATTTTTTTTTTCTCCAGTTTTACTTATACATATTCGCTCATACAATTTCATTTCATTCATTCGTTAATCTATCGTGCTGTAAAACAGTTGTGCTACATTGAGTTCTCTTGAAATAAAAAGAATAAAGAAAATAAAAAGTTTAAGAGAATTTTTTTATAGAAAAGAACAAATTTTAATTAAATTTAATTTTTGTGGAAGAAAAGTTTTTAATTGAAAAAAAAGTCGACCATAGAAAAAGTTTATTATTAAACTATTAAAGTGAAATTATTGTGTAACAGAAGCAAATCAACTGATCGTGAAATTAAACCAAACAAGGCCCTATTCATCAGCTGTTATTATTTAACTTGAATCGAGTTTCACAAAAGAAAGTGAAATCTTTGAAATAAAAAGAAAATCACATCTAAAGTACAAAAAAATATGTCGATGGTTTGGATGGCTACATTGAAGCTTTCGCTCATTCTTGGCATGACTGCGGTTGTCATTAAAAAGTAAGAATTACATTTTTCCACGATTTCCCTGTCATAAGTCCATCTACTTTCATTTTTTTTAAACATTGATCGATATTATTTGAAATATAAATAAATCTAGTTGTATCGTGTGTAGCTGTATAGAATACTAAATTATAATGAAGGCTGCCTTAGTTATATTTTTAGACTTCCCCATAACCTTTTCAGTTGGAATTAAAAAATATTTTTGGGATTCTTAAATTCTTTCCTCAATTTATCGTACTTACTGCATTGTTATTTTTTGGGGTGGCAGTAAAACTTTAGGAATAAGGGATGAAAAAAGTTTTTAAATTGTCAGGAAACTTTATTTATTTTAATTCCTTAAATATATATCATTAATCAAACCGAGAACATTTCGAAAGTGTCTTAAAATGAAACCCGAGAGAGAACACTTCCTTCCAACCGTGAAAATCGTTTATGGCACAATGCAAAGTCATTGTGCGTGCGTGGATCTATCAAGAGAATTGCAAAAATTATGAACATTAACAGTAAAATGATTTAGACAATGCTGTGTATTAAGCAAGAGACTTTTTGGCAAGCAGGAAGGATAGCTTTTTGATATTTGACCTTAGAGATTAATGAGAAAGTGTGAGAGACGTAAATTAATTCAATATCAATAAAAATCGACACTTTCAACTGACAACTAGTAATGCTGGCATCCTTTTATGTCACATAAACTTGATTTATTGGTTTTTTTTGCCTTACGTAATTAAAATCTGGTTGAAAGCACTTCATTCTAGAATGTTGATAGAGTCATCCATAAATCCACCAAGTATCCACTCAATAATGAACCAAAAAGTTTTCTTCAACGCCCTTTTATTCATCAATTTGATTTTCGTAATGTAGGGCAGTAATCCTCTCAGAAAATGAAAATACTCATTTGAATTCATTAGCTTCTCATCCGACCTAAAGATGAAAAAGAAGCCATTAAAAATTTAAATAGCAAATAAGGAAACATTTCAGTCTTAACTTTCTCTCGTCAAACAATTTTAAAACATGCTCAAATAGACAAAATAATAATTGCAGAATACATTACTGTTTATGACTAGATTTTTTAGTTGCGACATACAATGTCACATAATTGCTGCATTAAACAAACGATTATTTTAAATTGCTTTAGAGCATTGATAGCTTTAGTACTGCATGTAATGTAATGAATAGCATTGAAACCTAGTTTATGAAATTACAAAGAATGGCAGTTACGTAAACTCTTTCAATAGAAAATAAATTCAATTTGTTACAAAATCAAACACACATAATGGCTTGTTAAAGATTTTATCTTAATATTTCTTGATTATTCATGCCTATAAGGTCGATTAGCTTTTTCGCAATATCCAAATGCAGTTTGATGGCTTCCTTGAAAATATTAATAAATGGAATTCTGGGTTGAATTACGGAGTGGCAATAAGTTACAAGTTATGCAATTGATTTATGCATTACTGTTTCTCAAAGACAATGAGATTTTCTTGTGGGTTTATAGTAACAGGATTATTTGCAATCCGGTTTAAACTTTCAATTCTGCAGAAACTGTTCAAGCTTCTTATTGAGTTTTATGGGAGAGTTATAAACTTTAGAAAGGCCAAATTCCAGTTTTTAAATCCAATCCTTTTTTACCTTGACGTCAAAGTTAATCAATTTTAGACAGAAATTCACTTAAGAATCACGTTTATATAAAATAAATTTTAATCTGCCTCAATCCAAATCATTTAACCACTCGATATCCCATATCGCTACAAAGGAAATGTTCTTATATTTAAAAATCGACCTTTCTTTAACATTCAGTGTCTAAATATAAAGTAATGCACGTATCGCAATCGATAACGCTAAATTACACGCTAAGTACTTAAAGATAGCTGTACACATCATTAACAATTTCTGAAGACTGAGTCGTTGTTGAAATCAAGAGTCACAGTCTATAATTAGATATTCTACTTTTAATAAAATTGTCTAAGTACCTCAGTATATCACTAAGTTCAATAAACAAGACACGGTAGAAGAAGAATGGTCAGCCATATAAGGATCATAATAATTAATTTCATTTCTATTCGTTCTTGAGAGTCAATCGATTCTAGTGCTTCCTCAACCAATGTCAATTCCATCAATTTTCTTTCTTTTATCCAAATATCCATTTGCACAAATTTTCTTTGTTTGTTGAGTGTTAAAAAAGAGAGATTTCATTAATATCACGTGCCATAAAAATAAATACTATGCGCGTTACTTGAATAAATAAGCTGAATCCAGGAAGAGGAAGAATAACAACTAAAAGCACTATGTTCTGACTCTCTATTTATTATTTCTTGTTCTTTGTCAAGAGCGATTTCTATTCATTTAACATTTAATATTCTGTGTGCCGTGAGAAAATAGAAAGAGATGATAGAACTTGACGTATAAGCTCGAGAGATTGCATGATAGATGATTGAATAAAGAATTGATTGAGTTTGATGGAATTATTTATGACAAGTTAATCATAAATCAAATTGGATCTAATGGGCATCTTTATGTTGACTTTTAAAAGTTTTTCTGGATGTTTAAGCTTAGTTGAGTTTTTTCAAGATTCCAGACTCCCCAAACTCCAAAAACTAATCAAATTAAAATTTCGTATAAACCACAAATGATAACACAGACAACAAAAGTTCACTAGAGCTGCTTTTTAAAAATTAATTTGATATCTCGGTTAACCACAAAGTCAATAAACCTCAAAAGACTCGTAAAGCCGCAGAGAAATGTGCTGAATATCATTGAACAAAATCTATAGAAATAACGGTTTAAATTTTCATTAGACTAAAAGCAATTGAGCATGCATGTGAACAGCAATCTGATCTCTCATAAAAGATAAATGCTTTGAATTCGATAAGAGAATTTAAATTATGAGGAAAAAAAATTTAAATTTTCCATTAACTGACTTGACTAAAAATAGAGAAGCGATTTGAACTGTCCATAAATATTATTTCCTACATTCATGTATGTACATTTTAATTACTAAGTCGAGTGTGAGCTCGTGGGAAAAATAACAAATCAAATTCCACTATTATGACGATTATGGTGATCACCGTCAATCGTATCCAGCAACAACTTTGTTAATGAGATGCTTGTAAACACATTTGAAATTAAAGCACGACATAATTGTATTAAGCTTCACACAAAGCTATCAGTTCCAATGTCTATGCAATAATTACGGTAGTTTACATACCAATTCCATTTCTTTATTCGAACTAATTGCTCTTATAGCTAGCATGTAGTCACAAAAACTTTTTATCAATGCTTTTCTTTGTTTTCCAATGTTTCATTTCCTTTTCCGAATAATTTTTCAATGTTGAACTTTCTTTTTGACACTGAAAAATTTCGCCTTATGTAAAAATAAAGAAGGAACAAAGAGAGAGAGAGACTCAATGACACTTGGAAAAGATATGGAAACGACAAAATGGTTTTCGTGTCACATGCAATGTTCATTTTAAAAAAGTTTCAATGAAATCAGCACAATAAAGAACCCTTGAAAAAGTGAGACATTGTCGTGTCTGTTATCTACGAAATTCACGTCTCATGATGATTTAATGTACTGCGCCACAAGACGAGGTATGATGTCATCAACAACAATACTCAAAATTGATGCTCATCTTCGTTCTTTTCATTTTCAATTTAATTTTAAAAAAAAGTATTATTACTCTAAAGAATTCCAACTTATGAAAAAACTCTCACTTGACTTGATGCTTTTCAAGATCAATTTGGAGCAATTCAAGTCAAAAATATTTTTATAGAGTGAGAATTATTATTTAAATTGTTTTTCTGTCTAGTTTTCTGACTAAAGAACTGACATTCAATTGACACCTAACTTAAAGGTCCTCGAATTGCTTCGTGCCAATTTATTTTTATTGAATCTAATTTAAGATATTCATGGAGCGTGCATTTAAACTATAAACTATTTCACAGAACATTGAATGTATTAAGCATGTGTCTCTAAGCTTGTAATTTTAAATGTCAATTTTTTGGCTCATTTTCACTGCCACAATTAATTGGCATTGCTGAATTTTATAAGGTCTAATTATTTCAATTTTTATTGCAATTAATAATGTGTTGCAAATTTGAATGTAATACAATTTATGAGAATAGCTTCAAATTATGGGGTCAGTTTTGTATTATTGCTGATACAATGAAATCTGATGAAATGTTTGTTGATGATGATAAGGCTTGTATTAGAGTCAATTACTCATTATAAAAGTTTTAATTAATTGTAATTATTTGGTTTTTGAATGAAAAGAGTTTGAGGATTCAGAATTGAAGGTTTATTGAGAATCAAGGATGTAAAACTGATCAAGATGATTTATCAGCTCCAAGCCCTAGATGAGAATTTCATAAAACATGAAATTTTCTGATCTTTTGATAGTTAAGCTGGTTTAAAGCTTTAATTTGGCTATTAGACTTCAAATAGTAAAACTAAGCAACTGTTTAGATTAGCTTTAAGTTGATTCTTTTTGATATCTGACTTTTGGTTCTCAATAAAGCTTCAACTGAGAAATAAATCAAGTTTTTGGAGCTCATCAATTGACTTGCTCACATTTGATCATTTCATGAATTCAATTTCAAAAAAATATTTTAGATTCCAAAAAATCAAAATAAATATTTGAAAACCGATTAAGTTACTTTTTAGTTGCAATAACAGCAACTTAAAAACAACTTCCTCCATAATTCAAATAATTAAATCAAAGATTCCAATAGAAGTTTCATAATCCAATTGTTTATAAAATTCGAGGTTAAAGAAATTCAATTTAATTCCAAAGAAAATAAATTATTTTCATTACGAAAAAGATTCAATTCAACAGTTTATTTGCAGCCCGGAAACGTTCATAAAACAATTACTTCTTTTCAATCTAAGATTTATTGCTCATTTGCCCGAAAAAAAACCTTATCGAAAAGTATTAAATTGTTAACAAAAAACATTTGTCAATTCGTAGAAATCACGAGATTACTCAAGTAATTAATAACTTTATAGCTACTGATATGATAGGAATCTTACCTACGAGCCATATTACGACTGATTTTATTTCTTCAGCATCGTGACTTCTACTTCTCATTCACAGCGTGGATATTTTGTTATCGTTGAAAATTTATAAGAATTCCAATGAGTCATCGTTGCTTTAGAATTTATTCTGCTGTATTATAATTCTTTTCGGGGAATTTCTGTAGATTATGAAATCCCATCCATGTGGTTCTGCTGTATCATCATTAAAATGCTTAATAATTTCATCTCATTAATTACAGTTTTATAATTTTCAATTGTTTTATTAACAATACTCTTTTAATTATCATAGGAACTCTTACGGTCGAAGAGGTATACAAAGACCGCGACCAGTTTGCGGCCCTAGTACGCGAGGGTAAGCTTATCAAAAACAATATCTCAATTCAACTTTATTTTAATACAAACTCATCATTAAATGAATAGTTGCCTCACCTGATGTGGGACGAATGGGCATCGAGATCCTTTCGTTCACGATTAAAGATGTTTATGATGATGTACAATATTTGCAATCGCTTGGTAAAGCCCAAACGGCTAGTGTTAAACGTGATGCCGATTCCGGTGTTGCAGAAGCAAATCGAGACGCTGGAATTCGTGAAGCTGAATGTGAGCGAGCAGCTATGGATGTAAAATATGCCACAGACACCAAAATTGAGGACAATGCTAGAATGTTCAAACTTCAAAAGGCCAATTTCGATCAGGAAATCAATACGGCGGTAAGTGAAGCAGTTCTTTTATGTCAATCAATTCCAATCAATCTAATAATAAATTTATATCTATAAATAATAATACAGAAAGCTGAGTCTGCGCTTGCCTATGAATTGCAAGCGGCCAAAATTCGCCAAAAAATTCGTAATGAAGAAATCCAAATTGATGTTGTTGAGCGCAAGAAGCAAATTGAAATTGAATCTCAAGAAATCATGAGAAAAGATTGCGAGTTGACATCAACAGTCAAATTACCGGCTGAAGCAGAGAGTTACAAAGTTCAAACAATTGCTGAAGGTAAACGAACACAAACATTGGAAGTTGCACGCGCTGAGGCGGAAAAGATAAGGAAACTTGGAGCTTCTGAGGCTTTGGCTATTGAACTCGTAAGTTAAAGTAGCAGTGATGAGCTTAGAACAGTCCATTAAACAATTTGTTTCATTGTGCTTTGTTTGTGTAGGTTGGTAAAGCCGAAGCAGAAAGAATGAGAATGAAAGCAGCCGTCTACAAACAATATGGTGATGCTGCTATCATGAACATCGTCCTTGAGGCCTTGCCTAAGGTAAATATACTCACAATCAAGTCAAATTTGTACTCAATAAATCATCTTCTTTTGTTATCTATAAATAGATTGCCGCTGAAGTTGCCGCACCACTCGCTAAAACAGAAGAGATTGTTCTCATCGGTGGTAATGATAGTACAACATGTGACATAACACGTCTCGTAGGTCAACTACCACCAGCTGTTAGTGCATTGACAGGTGTCGATTTGTCAAAAGTTTTGGGAAAAATCCCCGGAGCTAAAGTCCAAAATTAATATGTGGAAGTCCATCATGAAGGCGCTTTTGATTCACTTTAACAACCCGTTTAAAAAAACACATTATTATTCAACTTTAATTTATATTTTTTCTTGTTTTTGTTTGTTTATTGAGAACTTTTAGTTGATTTCATCTTAAGTAAACGATATTTTTGGAATTTATTTTCAAATGCATTCGATATTTTGGAAAGGATAATGCATGCGGGGTAAACAAAATTTATTATGCGGATAAAGATCTAAATCTACTTATTGATATTCAACAACAAATTTATTATACAAACGTTAATAAATTAACAAATTTTTTACTCTTTATTTCCTATACGTATTACGTCTACAAATATCTACAAAATATGTACAATTTTTAATCAGATCGGGTGGAGGAAGGAAAACATTTAAGGCATTTACCTAAGATGAAAATCTGCTTTTATTTTTGTTCAGAGTTCACATTCATTGGATATGAAAATAATATTATTATTATTATTATAATTAATTAAGAAATGGATAAAAAAAGATAATGAGAAATATTGTACATCAAAGATAATACCTAAAATTAGGAAAAATAGTTTTTTACTACTTAGACTACATTATCAGATATGATGGAAATTTTCTGTTGAAATTTTGATGAATGGGAAATTTTCAATTTAATTTTAATTAATAAAATAGAAAATTTGAATTTATTTGCTGTAATTTGCTTTTATACAGCTCATTTCTGGCTTATGCTTGATTGATACTCACCACTATACTACCGAGGATATAAACTGCCATAATATTTTCAGGCGTTTTGCCAAGTTATGGATTTTTATCAGTTATTATGTGTCGTTTGAAGCTAGTTTGTGTCATATTTGTCACTTACTCTGGCAGATGATTGATTCAGCAAGGTTAAGACATTTAAATGTGTTAGATTCTTGTTACGCTTGGATTGTTAGGCTATAGGATCGATAAATACTCCGATTCTAAGAACAACCTTAGCAAATGTTATCATATTCAAAAAGATGATCGAAAAAACTTTGTTTTGAGTATTTTTGTTCATGAATTGGAGCCATCGATCTTAGTCTTACCGATTAGAATCTTTAAGTTTACTTAAAACTCAAGAAGAGATTATCAGTCATCTTTTAGGAACAAGATATTCAGAAATCCTTAATTTTCAGTAAGATAGATGTTAAGTTAATAGATCTAAACATTATTTACGATCCAATAAATTTCCTATTCACAAAATTTCAACAATCTCCTCCTTTTTCTCCGATCATGTCTGCAACAAAACTAACAAAAAAATGAATAATGATAGAAGTATTTAGATTAATAATGAGAAATGAAAATCTTTCTTTCTTTTTTGAGTTACACAACAGATGGAAATAACAATCAATTTCTACTTTTTATTTTATTTTACAATAAAAAAATCGTCTCTTTTTAAATGAAAGAAACATTTTCATCCGAAACGACCATAGCCAATAGTCGATTAAAACAAATTACCGAAACGAACATTTTCACTTACATGCACTTACAATTTTATTTTTTAAAAATTTCTAATATTTAATAAGGAAATTTGTTTATACAAAGAACCGTTAATGAAAATAAATCGATGAAAATTTATTTTATTAGTTTTTATTTATTTATTATTTTTTTTTATTTTATTGAAAGAAACTGGGAATTTCCCACAGACAACAACCTACTCATGATGGACGATGATAAAAATGAATAAATATTATAACTAATAATAACTGTATGTTCACTGCCATTGGATTGAAGACGTTGCAAGAAATATTTTTCCTATCATAAATTCACTTAAGTGAGGTTTTTCACATGACACAAATGCAATAATGTCATTAAACGAAAGCAAAAGTATTTCCAAAGATAATAATTTCAATATCATTTGGGTCGATCACAAGTGATGTAAATGAGAAATTTGAATTTCTAAGCTACACATTATGTCAGCGTCATTGTCATGATATGTAGCTCCAGATTATAGCAAAACCTATGCACTGTGACCACCAACACATCCCTTCTCACATAAATGTTCCGTCACATCATAAGTGAATACCCCCCATCACTTGAGTGTCAGTCAGTTTTTCTTGTGTATATAAAGTACAATCGGTAAACATTTCATGTGAAAAAAAAAGACGTGAATGCAGGAAAGGCAAGAATAAATAAAGTCGATGTAAACATTCCAGCTCATTTGAGAGGGCCAACATCCTTCCTTAATATGCAAACATCTCTCAAAAGAGGAATAAAATTCGGATGGAAATTTTTCTAGTCAATTTGTGGTGCAAAATATTCAGCATGAATCGTTTTGCATTTTTATAAGGTTTTTATGTTTTATAGATTTTGTATTGCTTGAGTTTTTTTGAGGTTAAAATGTTTTTGAATAAAACTTATTTGTGTTGGTTGAGTTGATGCAGGAAACGCATTTAAATAATTTAAGGAACAAACATTTTAACTAATGAAAATGGATCAAAACTTTCGAATGTCTCTTGTTAATTAATGACAATTGACATAAAACATTCGAATTATTTTTGCATTTTTGCATCAACTGAAGCAAAAACGTTAAGACTTTCGCATCAATTGAAGCAAAAATCTTTTATGTTTGCATCAATTGAAGCAAACATATTTTATTTGTGCATCAATTGAAGCAAAATTATTTGTTTTGCATCAATTGAAGCAAAAAGTTTGGTCTTTGCATTAATTAAAGCAAAAAAGTTTGGTTTTTCGCATCTTTTAAACCAAATTGTTTTAATTTTTTGAATCAAAAAAGGTAAATCGTTTTGGTTTCTCTGTAACTGGTGCAAAAAGAATAAATATTTTTGCATCAAATAATGCGTAAAATATTTCCAATGCAGCATTCAAGCATTCTTAAGCTGTTTTGTTTTAAACTTTGAAAAAATTTTTAAGCTTTTTGCACCAATTGAAGCTAAATTTAATTTTAAGGATCGAATATTAAACAACTTAGTCTTATTTTGTTTATAAAGTACAAATTTTACAAACGACCAGTAACAAAAACTACCAAATTAAAATGAATTTCAAAGATTAGCTATAAGTTCATTTTAAAACCTTTATTCAACCAGCATTGACTAGTAAAATCTTTTAAAAGAAAAATCATCTATCTCCAGTAGCATGTCACGTGAACATAAACAGCACGTCATTTCCTCATTTGCATTCATGATTTCGACACGCGCGCATCTTATCTCCATCAAAAAAAAAAGAAATGTATCATTCATGAAGATCATGATCACATTCATAAAATTCCCAAACGTGCCATAACTCTGTCATGGAATGTTTACCGACTTTACAACCAGTTAACCGAAATATTTATTTCATTTCATAATTTTTATACTTATCTGTGTAAGCTCATATATTATTTTTTCTTGCGTTGCTGTCTGTGTTTCAAATGTTCCATCGATCACCAAAAAATATGTGTAATATCCACCGTGTTCAAAAAAAGCTCTTGTCCCCTCGTGTTCTTTCATGTGATTTTTTTTTTGATTTTTCTCTCATTTTTCATGAAAAACGACAAGAAAAAAAATTGCCTTAACAATTTAAAAGAAAACAGAGATGAAAAAAAATCTTCTATTTTCATTTTTCATTAGATGTGAAATTTATATAAAAAATTATAGAAAATAAAGCGTGCAGAATTGGCATTTACTAGTAAAAAAAAGTTAGCTATATGTAGCATAAAAATGTATTTTTTCTTAAAAACTTTCGAACAAAAAAATAAAAGCTCTAAAATTAAATTTAAAAAAAAAGCTTTCAATGGAAATTATTTCATTTCGTCCATAAAACGTGTAAATAATCTCTTCATATTTTTTAAACCAATAAAATATAAAATAAATTAAATTTTTTTCTTTGCATTTAAATGAAAATAATTCTACCCATTAAAATGGAAATGATGAGTCTTATAATACATGATAAAGTGTTCAAAACATTGTCATTAGTAAAAATGAAAAAGATATAAAATAACATAATATTGTAGCTATAGCATTAACCCTTGGCACTGATTTTGTCAGATTTTTTGGAATTGGAATTTTGAAAAAAGAATTTGTAGTTTAGTTGTGACTTAGAATCCTTTTATATGCAAATATTAGAGCTATTATGAGGTATGATGCAGACTACACAGGTTCAATCGCAGAAAATGAATTACCTGCTTTGTGACCTATAGAGTTCTCCTGCTAGCTACACAGTGGTTTCAATTAACGGATTGGTCACGTTGTGTTGCTACAAAACTTAAGAATACATTGTCGATTGGCATATATTGAAATGTTTGTCACCCGGACTCTGGTTGATAGTATAATTAGAATCAAGCGGCAGTCAAGTGGCAACCACTTGGTATCCAGTTTGAAATGGTTTACAAACGACTACCGATTGGTTCTAATTATACTATCAACCCCGCCGCTGGATTTCAAACATTTCAAATCGTGCCGATCGGGATTGTATCTATCATTGACTAAGCGCTAGGCGCTTACCAGTAACGAGAATAACATGCGAATGGATACATTTAATGTAACAACACTCAATCAGTTGAATCTTTTTCTTATCTTTGTATAAATTGACCAAATATAGATCAGATTGTAGCTTTTTACTTACTCTTAAGAAGCAAATTTATCTTTTACGATTCAAAAAATATGAAATAAAACCGAACAAAGATAAATGTGCTCAATTCTGTCTTCAAACGCTGTTGGTGCCCTAAAGTAAACGTGTTGTTTCCATTAAATGTTAAAACCTTTGTTGAATAAACAAAGAGGATTAGGTTCTTGAACCTAATCAGAGATATTAAAAGAAAATCTTTAAAAATCAAGATTTGTAACTGAAAGTTCAGGATAAAGGCTAAGAAAAAGAAACTTCCAAATCTAAAAATCTCACAAAATCAAGTCCAAGTCCAATAAACCTACATAAAAAATACATATAAAGCCATACACCAATGAAAGAATGCATCTATTTATCATCCCCTCAAGAAAAAAAAAGAAAAGAAGTGAAAAAATAAGAAAAGATATAAAATTAAGAAAATAAAAGTCTACAACATCCAAACTTGTATATACATATGCAGACATTAAGAACCTGAATAGATGAAAATTAAATGTTTGAACAGCATATTTTTTATATAAATGAAGATAAATATCCTTTGTATAAAGAAAATTCTCTCAAATCTCCCTCTGCCTCTTTATCAATCTATCTCTATTCATACATTAATCATGAACAGCATAAAGAAGCAGTTTTTTTCTAGATGACAAAAATGACGAGAGAGATGGATATTGAAAAGAAGAACAAAAATTGAATATTGATTGACATATTGATGTAGTTAACATAATTTACTCATTATTGCATGTGTGTGCTAATGCTTAGAGATTGATGGATGTAGATTTAAACTCGAATTTAGCTTTTTGATTTGCCAAGCTTAATGAAATTTAATGAAGATTGAAATCAATTTTCATAGGAACTTAAAAAAAGGTTGCAAAGCTTTCATGGTTGGAGTAAAACTTTTGACTTGAAATCCTGTTTGGCTACGCTCTTGAATGTCCCAAATTCAGTTTCAAATATAAGACCAAGACGTATTTGATGTTGATTGCAGTGAAAAGTTACAAAAATAAATTTAAAACTTTATTCGATTTCATCCAAAACTTAATCTTATCTGTTAAATACTGGTTTTTATATATTTGAATTTCATATACATTTTTACATATTTGTTGCTCAGTTGCTAGATTTCTCTTATTCTTTCTTTTTACCCCGATCGTCGGATCGAAAAGTCGCTTCCGATAAATCCACGAAAAAGTAGGAAAATACATTTGATTACATTTCATTACATTCATAATGCTTTCATTCTAGCTATCTGATCCAATTAAGCAGAAAGTTTATATCTGAAATATATATTCATCATATTGAAAAGAAGTACGAATAAATACTTTGTGAAATAACTTTATTCTGTTTTTGTGATTTGGATATATCGTTTTTATCGGGGAAAAGCACAAAATCTTCGATGTTTGCCAATCAGGAACTTTTAAAGCTAGATGAACAAATAATTTGGTTTATTTGCTTCCTTTCAGGATCTGTAAACATCTTCTGTTGTATGTATTGATAATATATGTTTCACAACAGCGTATGTTGACAAAAACTGAAAAACGGAAGCTCAAAACTTCAGCAACTTGTTCCATGAACTTTCTTTTGAGGTCTTTTAATTTGTTATCAGATAAAAAACTTAAGACTAAAGCAAGATATATAGATGGGCTCATACAGAGTATACTTGACCATACTCGACCATACTATTTTTTGTGTACTTATACAAACAAAAATTTTTAAAATTTTCTATTTTCAAGTTTTCATTTAAATATCGACAGATGCAACAACATTTGACTTAAGTCAGTTACTTTAAATTATAGCAAAGCATTTGCAATACTCCTGTATCAACAAAACTTAACAGAAAGTTGAAAATTTTGCAAAACAAAAATTGAAAATTTTCTTTTATAGTGTTAGTGTTTTTAGAAAATTCAAATTTTTGACGTTTAAAAACTGCGATATTTTTGTATGAGCACATCTATATATCTTGGACTAAAGCAGCAGACCTCATAATCCGTATCTAAACATAAGCACACACATGAATAATGAA